ATGTGGTGACTTTTAATAACACTTGGATTTACATTTATCATGAGATCCCTTCACAATACTTGCCTTTGGTGTAGGATTCTGAGGATTCACATCCAACACCACTACTTGTAGGTTAAAAACTCTTCTAGTTGATATTCTTTGGGGAAGAAAGTTATGGAATTGAATCCAGGATCTCAAGCAGTTTAGGTAATCACTCTACCACTGGTCTCAATTTCCAGTCCTATTTTCTTTTTATCATTTTTACTAGAGAAAAATAAAATGCTACATTGTTGTTTTACCTGAATTTGTTTTGAATTTCACATTAAAATAAGCAACTCCCTCTGTAAGTCACTGGAGATTGTCATTTGTCTTGGGACGTCTTGAACTTCCAACTTTATATGATCTTCCCATTGATGAGCTTGTTGTCATATTGTCATCAAATAAATCTGTAGTCCCCAAATGCACAACATTGATCCCTATTGTTGGACAGAAATCCTTTCAACTAGCTGTGTTTCCTTGGGTACATCTTTTAAGATTTGTTAATACTTTAGCTATAAAAACATGAAGGTTGTATGAAGCTACATATAGGGTATATCAATGTCAAGAAGAGTAAGCCTTTGATATTATTATTCATATCAACTAGAAGATACTTTTTCTGAACCTGTTCAAATATGATTTATGCTTTAGAGTCATCTCCCAAGAGCTTTTCTTAGATCCACTAATTCACCAAAATCTCTTCCTCCCCTACATTTAAATGTTTCATGTCAGAGCTACACAATTTGTCTGTTAAACTGTCTTACCCATGTGAGAATATGGGATTCTTCTGGCTTCCTGAAGTCAATGTACTGTGCCCACTCACAGAGAGTAGGTATTTGATGAGACATGGGTAGGGAGGTCAGGTGGTAAGTTCAAGCAGACCTACATGCCTGCATTGAATGCTCCACATTGCCATTGTTCCCCTTAATTAAATTTTGAGGGCCCAAAGCTTGCCCACACACTCAAGATTCAGTGAGGTATGTGACCTCACTGAGTGATGACATAATAGGCATCCTTATTTCCTTGGTAGCGAAATCGCACAAATGTAAGAACTTTTTTGTTAGACCTCTGCTGGACATTAGTTTGACTGATGCCCTGAAAAACAATGTCTCATAAGATTTCCTAACTTGTCATCTTAGCTGGAGAGGACATTATAGCCAATAAGATGGCTGTCTTGAGAGGCCATGGTACAAACACAACCTTGTGGGTCATCACATGGTCCTTTGGATCAAGTGACTTGTGCTGGCTCTGAGATTCATAGTATTTATGATCACTAGTGAAAAAAGACACTGTTTTTCTGGTCAAAGGTTTCACAGTCTAGCCTGTCTTTGTGCAAGAAGATACTTCCACAGGAGCTGGTTGCAGAGTAATGCTTGTTTAATCTCAGTTATTCAGGAGGTTGAGGCACAGGATCACTCATCTCAGGCTTCCATGTCAGACTCTTCCAATATACTGAAATCTAATTAAATGATGATCTTTCAGTCTGTCTTTGTTAGACACTTGGGAAAAGGCAAGTGTAGTTTCACTGGCAGGGAATAACTAGAGTAGTTTGAAAAGGAGCTATTAAAGACCTCTCAGAGTATTACCATAATACTCTGCAAACTTTATCTTGGTGTCGTGTAGACACAAACTTGGACTCCATCAGTTATATCCTAGTCTGAGCTGTGGAGAATTAGTGAAAAAGGTGTCATAAAGCTGAGACAGGAAAGCTTATAGAAAGACATATGCTAATAGATTAGGGATCTGAGGACAAAGTATACAAGAAGTGTCCTAGTTGTGAGAAGGCTCTTTGAGCCCAATCTTGATACAGAGAGATCATAGGTGTCCTGATTTTTATTATTTTCAGATTCATCTTTTCTTTGTGGGAACTGGGAACTGATGTTTTGGTCTCTTTCTATGTTTGCTTTATAGAAGCAAATGCTTTTACTGTGAGCACCTCTTTCTAGGAGGCACATAGAAGTGACAGATTTAGTGTGTGGGATTAATAGGGCTTCAGCCCATAATGAATATGAGAGAAGGAGGTCCTGGGAGCATAATGTATTAGCAGAAGGTACTGATCATTTCTTGCTTTCATTATAGCAGCAGTATCATACATAGCTCCTCCTCCAGTTGGTTACTACCATGTCTTATAATGTGGTGGGTTGGGTTGGAGAGATATATTACCTGGTTTGTAGCTAACATATCTCTGGGGATGACCCCTTCACCACCCCAGCAAGGCTGAAGCAAAGAAGCTCACTTCTTGGTAGATGCTCCAGAAATATCAAGCTGTGTGAAAGTCTGACAAAGACCTACTTTGAAAACTGTCCATTTGAATCATAGTGACAAGAAGCTGTAGTACATTCATGGTTGAGTTGTTCTGCTTGTGGGATGAATATGGAATATCTTAAGAGAGGTAATGCATATTTGCAGTGACATCCACTGCCCATCACTGGTGCTAGAACTTGAGCCCTTTGTCTGAACATCCTTAGCAAGAAGCCCTTTTCCGGGTGAACTCCATATGGGAAAGGAGTTCCAGAAACTGAGTTTGAAGTGAGAGATTGCTTTGACATTCCAGTGCTGATCCTGGCCCCAGAGAGGTCCTAACATTTACCTGTTCAATATTTCAGTCTTTTCTTGGGCAGAACCATCAATAGTCTGCATTGTACAAACCAATTAGAAGTCAAGTGCAGAGAATCTTGCTATGGCTTGATGTAGAAGATGCTCTCCTGCTGTGTCATTGCTGTCAAAAACCAGAGGGTTTAGTTTTTCTGGTTCTTGAAGAAGGAAGCAGGAACTTTGCAGGTAGAATCCTGCGTGGGGTCCCAGAGACAGAATAATGAACTCAGTGAAGATCAGCTACCTGGAGGGGAAAGAATAGAGACCATATGGATTATATCCAAATGTCAGTTAGTACAAATTGTTTGTAATTTGCCTGTGTGTGGCAGAGTCTTCTTTCTCAATCAGTAAATTGTCTTAAACAAAGCAGAGATTTATTTCTTGCTGACATAAAATCCAAAGCCCTGTTGCAGATCAGAAAGCAACTATTATCTATGAACATGTGAGGGACTTGTAATCTTCAAGATTTCTTGTCCTCTAGATCAATTATGTCAAACCTTTTAGAAATGAGTGCCTAAATTACAACCTCAAACCTACTTATTTATTCCAAAGTACCAACACTGCAATTAAACCTGAATATTGAAGTTATTATTTGGAAAAAAGAACTCATCAATTAATATTTTTTGTCTTAAAAGAAAGACAAATAACCTCATGCCATAGGCTTGCCACCACTGCCCTTGGGCCTACCAGCTTTGCATCCAGCTGGTTTCAGGGCAACGAACAAGTGCTAAGGTTTGGTTGTGACCTTACTAAGCCAAGCTAGAGGCAACCCTGTCCGATGTCCCCTGCTATCCCATTTTTCTTGTGTGTTTCATAGACTGCACTGTGAGATGCATGTAAAAATACCCAGATTACGCACATACAATGTACTCTGGGTGCACCTATAAAGTTTTGTTTACCAAGTGTTAGGAACACAAGAAATCTTGAGTATCAAGTGTCAGGGACACAAGAAGTCTTGAATATACTTTCATGTCCATAGCACCTATGCAAGAGCCAGTGAGTTTTTTTTAAATATTTGGAGAATAAATGGGTAAATGTTTGTATAGGTGATAAAAACTAAGGATTTTATGGAGATGGGGTTGTTTTATTTTACCATGTCACTGATGTCACTGTTATTCTATCGTTTCATGATTCCAGATGAATACTAGTCAGACAGGGCCATATGATTCCTGGCAGGGCAGTGCTTTCCCAGCAAGAAGTCTACAGGGAGAGTGGAAGAGTATAAAGTTCAAGGGATCACTAATCATCTCTTCCACTCAGTGATTGCCTCTCCTAATAACTCTAGGACTTTTGTTTTAACAAATGATCCTCTTCTGAATAATCCCAAATAGCAGCCAGTGAGTATCCCTTCTGGCAGCCTCAAGGATCCAGGAGGAATCAGTGGGATGTTCAAGTATGTTAAGTGGTTAGAGTTGTAAGAGAGCCCAAAAGATGGAACCTATACCAATTTCCTTGAGGTTAATCAGGTGTATCCAGAAAGTTAGTTTGTCAAAATATTTGATGCCAAATCAGAGTGGTTAAGTATATAGTCAGTATAGTCACATAGGTCTAGCCTAATGTTCAGTTCTTCTTTCATGCCTAGCCAGCTATACTAGAGTGCATTTATACAAATCTTTTTTATTAGGCACTAAACGATCCTATGAAAATGACCTAGCATGGATTTCTTGTGTCCATAACACTTGGTAAACAAGACATTACGGGTGCACCCAGAGTACATTGTATGTGTGTAATTTGGTGATTTTTATATGCATCTCACAGTGACCCCATGATCTCATTTGTCTTGTGGTTACATGGAGAGCTCTTTGAGAAAGAAATATGTCTTCAACTCACTTTTATGTCCACAGCACTTATGCAAGAGTCAATGCAAGGATAAGTATTTGGAGAATAAATGGATATTTTATTCTAAGAGCATTCTGTCCAAATAACAGTGTGTTCCCTGGGCCTAGAGGTGTGCTGCAACAGACCAGTTAACATGGCAGAAATATTGTAAAGCTGAGTAAGGTACTAGAAAAGGACTGGATGCAACGTAAGGTTGTTTCTGAACTTGAGAACCTAGACCTCTAGGAGATAGAAGTCTAGTGAAACTAAGAGATATGTCCACAAAACCTAACTGGCAGCTCTGGTGCTATGAGAGGCTCTAAAATTTACTTGGCCATTTCCACGAACTCCTGACCAAATCTTTGGGCGGCCTTGGGTATCTGCCTGCTGTGCTGCCCTTGGGAAGCTTATATTGCTCTGAAGTTGTAGTCACACATGGGAGATACCTCATACAGGAAGCTGTTGTGTGAATTTGGTACTCTGTAGTCTGATATTTGGATAAGAACAGTTCAGATAAAAGTGGGTAAAGTCCGAGTGGGTGTGGTTTGAGGGCACATGGAGAGAGAGGTCTTTTAGAAGAGGGACAAGTTTTCTGTTGTTTTAAGTTGTGTAATTGACTTGGTAGGTGAGTTTTGGCAGGGATGGGGGTCGGATCTGTGATCTGGGGCAGGACTGTGCATTTTTTCTGAATAGCACAGAGACCTTACTGGCCCAGGAGCTGCTGACTTCTACAATGTGGCTTTACGCACTGGTAATGGCTCCTCTTCTTGCTTCCATAGCCTGTGGTGAGTCCTTTTGAAATACAAATATCAGCAGAATGAATTGTATATCCTTGTCCTTGAAAGAGGCTGGCAAGCATAGATTTAGGACAAAGAAGCAGGAACAGATCCTGGTGTACAGTAGTATTTTCTTCTGGATTTTGAATTGAACTTACAGTAACAGCCTATACAGACCAGGCTCTGCCAAGAGCAGTAGAGGATGAAACCTGTGACTATAGGCACCAGGACTAGGACAGCTAAGTTTAGCTAAAGCCAAATTGATGCCTCTCCTATGAAGATTTAAGAGAATTCACTTTGTCTTGCCTTTGATACATAGTCCTAAGCTGGGCAGATCATGGAAAGTAACCTGGTAGAATAATAAAATCATGGACTCAGGAGCCAGAGTGGGAGGTCTGAATCTCATCCCAGCATTTCTGGGTTGGGTGTCCTTTGTAAAGTACTTGTGTCTTCCCTCCCTGGGCCCCTCCTTTTAGAAAGAGATGGCAATAGTACCTATATTAGCATCTGTGAGGATGAAATTGATGATTATTTCTAAAGTATTTAGCATAGAGCTTGCACAATAGGAAGTAGAGAAAGGGATAAATAAATAAATAGCTTGATTTACATAGTAGTGTGTTAATAGGAAATTTAAGATATAGCCATGTCCACACATCATGGTCCAATGGCCCTGAAAATGTAATTTGTTATTGAGAGTTCTGAATGAGGACTATCATCCTTGTGGTAGGGCCACAAGGAGAAGCAGCAGGAGCAATCAGGCAGAGGGTCAGGGTGGACTCTGGATATGTGGTTTCACTTTCTCCTGAATGGAGAACAAGAAAGAGAAAAAGCTGGTATATGGTTGGTTGCTTGGGTTTAGGGATATATACCCTGCTTATAGTGATCTGGAACCTGGGCCAAGTACATTAGAGCACATCAATGGTGTTCTAGGTTATGAGACCCTGAAAATGAAGGTGCGGACTCTTGAGTTACTTAGATCCAGGGAGTGACAGTACCTTCACTGCCACCAAAGCCTCACACCTCGTATCATCAGATAGAGAAAATCAATTCATGTTGAAACAGTTATGCAATGACTCAACAAATATCCATAGCATACAGTGGGCAGAGGTGCTCACACTTGGGGAACAAGCAGTCTCCCGCCTAGAAAAAGAAGATGCAGTCTAATTTTAACTCCTGAATTCAGAGCCCACACTCAGAGTTTTCCATTCTTAAGAAGTTTGAATGAAGTGTTTCCAAATCCTGTTTGCTCATGTGTTAAGCGAGCATATTAATACTAACCCAGAATGCCTTCTCTGAGGAACTGGATATGAACAGTAAGTGTTCAGTATGGGCACATTCTATATGACATAGCAGTGGTAACTGCTATACAGTATTTTTTATTATAGAGCCTGTCTTCTTATAACACATTTTTATGTTAGGCAATCTGGCTTCTACCCACTTTTTCTAGGCTGAAAGTCATCAATGAGATAACATGAATACAAACCAACCCTGTTCACACATTACCCTACCTTACCTCTTTGAAGCACTTGGCACTCCTTCCAACCCCTCCTCTTTTCCCTGGGATTCCCTGACACTCTGCTTTTCTTTTGCCACTGCTCTTTTGGGTGCAATCAGACTCAAATGCATCTGTCTATGCTATATTATCAGCTTGTTCCGCTCTCTCACATGAGTCTGCTGTGTACTCTCACCTTTATGAAGATGACTGTACTTGCTGCCTTACACTTCTTTTCAGTCCTATGATGCCCTCTTCCTATGGAGCCTTCTTTCCAGTATTCTCACTGACCACTGTCTAACATGGAACCAGCATTACATATCTGTTTTTCAGTCTTTTCCTCTCACTTCCACAGTCTCCATACCTGGCAAGGAGGACAAAGTCTTCCTTCACAGTTTCTCATTTATATCTTCCTATTGCTTCCTCATTACTCAAATGGATCTACTTTCAGTGCAGAAATCTTGAAATGTATAAAGAAAGTAACCTCCAACAGAGGAACTCAAGGGCATCTCAATCCACATGCTCCTCAGCATGTTATATACAGATGTTCCTCAATTTATAATAAACAAATGTCTTGATAAACTCATTTTCTAAAAGTTTTCAAGAACTCCTAATTTAACCACCAGCTCATTCATGTACCTAGTCATGGGACTAAGATTTGGTTGTCAACGAAGAATGTCTATAGTTATTTATTTCTTTTTTCTTTTTCTTTTTCTTTTTTATTGGTACTGGGGGTCAAACTCACGACTGCCTGCTTGCAAGGCAGGTGCTTACGCTGCTGAGCTAAGTCCCCAGCCCCTATAGTTATTTCTATAATGGGGCAATTATGGTCTGTTTATTGCTGCTGCTGCTGCTGTTGTTATGCTGTTATTATTGTTAATTATAGAGCAAGATAAAATTTCAGGAGACAACAATGGACAGTTCTCAATTTACACTGCTTTAAAAGTCAAGAAGAGCTTGGAGTGAAGTATTCCAAGCCCTGAAAGAAAATAACCTCCAGACCAGATTGATGTACCCTGAAAAACTCTCTAGAAATTAATGGAGAAACAAGATGCTTCCAAGACAAAGAGGAACTGGCGGAATTCATGGCCACCAATCCTACTCTACAGAGAATACTGAAGGACATTCTAGAGAGAGAGAAAGTCCCAGAATTCCAGGAACAGTGGCAGAAAGGCCTCAATGAATGGAGCATAAAGCAGAATGAAAAAGAAAAACAGACAACTAATGGCAGAAAAAGAGCACAACAGATGAGGCAGAGCAGCTTGGCTATAATCTCATATAGATGACCTTGATACACTAAAAAATAAATAAAAGAGAAAAATAGGCAGAGTAGATCAGGAGGTAAGGTCTACCGAGATGCTCTTTATAGGAAACATATTAACCTGAAAAAGGTTTATGGACTGAAAATCAAATATGAGAAAACAATGCTCTGATAGGGAACCAGAGAGTAACAAGGGCGACTTGACCAGTATTTGTAGATAGGTTGGAAAGACAGGATTTACTAGGTAAAGGAATACAACCAGAGATCAAGTCCAGGAGGGAGAAGGTTCGGAACCACTAAGGTAAATAGCGGGCTGCTCCCAATCTAAAAACTGAGGGTGTTGGTGAGACCCAAAAATGCACAGTGTACCCTGGGGGAGTGAAAGGGGAGGAATAGTCTTTAAAAAGAAGGCAGAGGATATTGTTAATAGTGTATCAAGATTTAACACTCACATTACTCTCACTACTCTGCTTAGATAGATTTTATTCTGTTCCAGTTTGTCTGCTTGCAGTAGATCTGAGGGCACAGACAGCTATCCCCAAAATAACAGGCTATAGCACAGTAATCATCTTTAATTTCCTATTAACTTAATCTGGAGTCCTGTATAACTTATACTGTTTTATCATGACTGATCTTAGTTAAATCTGGTTTGTTTGATTGCTGTTTGGTATAGACAGATTTTATTCAAAACTGTTATGATTGATAGTATCAAGTCTGAGAGTAAAGGGAATTATACTGAAGATGACAAGAATCACTATGATACCCATTCTGGTTTGATTATTATCTGTTTTTGAAGTTTTATACTATTTACCAAGTTTTGTTTTTATTAATTTTGTTACGAACTGCTATATTCAATTATACTACGTCTGATGATATATTATTGAAGTTAACAAGAGACATCAGAGTAACCATTCTTGTAGAACTCCTTGTACAGTGGTTTTATATGTATTTTTTGTTTCATGTGTTCATAGGAATATGTTTTGTGTTGTCTTGCTTTGTTTTTTTTCCTCCCTCTAATATAGAAAGGATAGAAATACGTGTTGAAACTCATGCATGCATAGAACCTATAAATAGTTTATGAGAACTGATCTTGCAATGCATGATGAAATGAACAAGTACTTTGAAGGAAAAGAGACACTATGATACTCAGTGCTGATCCCGTAGTGTCACGATGTGAAATCCATCTATACTATTATTCTTTGTTCAGAGTGATTTTAGCCTGCTATGTTTTGTTTAATCTCAACATAAATGAAGATATGAATGACTGCATGTATGTTTAAGTGTATAGGATTGATAAACCATATTGCTAAATTTTTGTTGGATAGTTGAACAGAACTGCTTGCAGTCTCACTGTTTGAATCTCCACTTTGTATGTTTCACTTTTGCATCTTGCACAGCTATTTGTATGAGTACAATATGTAATCAAGTAGTTACTTGCTGCTTATTTTTCTTTGAAAGTATGTATTATTTCTACCCCTTTTCTATTTTGTTTAGTCTTTTTTAAATAAAATTTAAAAAAAAGAAATGGTCAATGGAAACTCCAACTTGATGACTTTGCTTATTTTGCATGACTCTTACGTGCAGTACTATAATGTATGACAGAACATAAAATTGTAGTGTGTACAGTCCAATCAGCAAACATTATAGTACTGTATAATCAATGGATGATATACAAAAAAGGTGGTAAATGAGTACAAATCATGCACTATGTGTGGTGCAATGACATTAAGTTTATGAAAGCCAGGAAAGAAACCTTCTCTTTAAGGAATTTACCTTCCTTTTTTAGGAAGAACATTTTAGTTTACTATGGACCCAAAACTTGGGGAACCATGATTGATGAGAAAGCTGCAAAGAGATGAGAAACAATTATCTGCTCCCCTCAAACAGAGTGAATATTTTAGACTGAAAACTGACACCTAGTCTCGCTTTCCTCTGAAAACTCATGCCAGGATATTCTAGAAGCTCAATGTGTACTTTAGGACAAAACTGTCCTTTCTCCTTACTGGTCAAACAAACCAACAATCTTTGAACTAGAATTTGAGGCCTAACCTGACAGGTACCTCTTCACTTCAGGATTGTCTTCCACTCCCCATGGACTCCAACTGGTGATCTTCAAGAGTCCCTTGCACTTTTCCAACCTGATCCTGGGTTTGCTGTCTTTGTGCCTCTTCAAGTCCTCTTTCTTCTTTAACTCTTTCCCACTATTCCTTATTCACTGTTCCTCCTCTTTGTTGACACCAATCAGGCTTCACTGCATCTGTCAACTTCTTTAGTATCTTTCTGTTTCTAGGGGGACAGAAGCTCTTTCTTTCTGCTTTTGATCAAGTATATGCATGACTACTCACTGCAAGGTCACCTCTGTATAGAACTTGGGCCATCACTTGTCATCTTCTCACTGAGCATGTAGCTTAGCCTCCAGACAGTAATGGACACATGCTTACAGAAGCTTCTGGGCAGGAAAGCAAAGATAATTACCATTTCAGGTGTCATGTCTTTCTGTGTTTGTTTGAGCCTATGTGCTTTCATATCTCCCACTCCAATTCATTCATTAAATTAACCCCCAGATGTAGAAAGGACATTGTTTCTCATTTGTATTTTACCTAAGGAACTTAAGCCTAGAGGCTTGAGGTGATTTATTTGAGATCCCATGTCTAGAAAGTGGATGTGGGTTTTATCACCTTTATCCTCTAATGGGTCCTGCTTTCCTCTCCTCATCCAGCAGAACACCCACCTTTACCACCTGTGGTGGACACAGTGTATGGCAAAGTCCTGGGGAAGTATGTCAGCCTGGAAGGATTTGCACAGCCTGTGGCCGTCTTCCTTGGAGTTCCTTTTGCCAAGCCTCCTCTTGGATCCCTGAGGTTTGCACCTCCACAGCCTGTGGAACCTTGGCATGACGTGAAGAACACCACCTCTTACCCTCCCATGTAAGCAGATATGGTGACCTTTGGCATCTTTCACTGATGATATTTTTTTCTCAGAATGAGACAAGAAAGAGTGAAGACAACCCTCTGGTTGGTTTATCTTTTCTTTGGAATTCTCTAGAACACTGTTGACCCTTGAAAATATTCTGATAATATGACAGCTTTCTAGATGCCTTCATTTAGCACATATTTATTGAATACTTGATACATTCTAGGCATGATCTAGGGCTGAGAATTCATAAACAAAGCAAATATCCCTATCTTCCTTGATCTTGCATCCTACTGGGGAAAAGAGATAATGAAAAAACGCATATTATTAATATAATATATATTATATCATATATATTATATTCAAGCATATTATACTTGAATCATGTACTATGGAGAATGTGTTAATAGTGTTGAAAATAATCAGTGGACCACATGAGGGACAGATCAAGTAATCATGCTTTCTATTCTCCTGTCTTGAGCCTTGGCATGGCTGGGACTGGATGGGTGAAGTGTTATGCCTTTGTAGGGTAAAATAGAGTGTTGATTTGTTCAGTTCAGACTCCCTGTTATGTCTCAATTCTTAGACACACTGACTCACTGAGGGTAAAAAGCCTAACTTTCCAGATGGTCTCGTGGCTTTTCTCAGTGTACCTCAGACACAAACAATGTCAATTCAGAAATTATTTTCTTCAGCAGGTAACCTCTGCTGCCTACTTCTGCAGATTCTCTGGCTGTTGCTATTGGATACCTTCTTTTCTTTTAAAAATAAACTCCATTTTCTTACTTCCTGACTATAAAAGTAATACAAACATATTGCCAAAAAGTTGGATAACGTAGAAAAGCAAATGTGAAAGAAATAAAACCATGCACAAGTCTACCACTCAAGAGTACTTGCAGTTAGTATTTGAGATCATGTTTTCCAGTGTCTTTTACTTTTCCCTCTTCTGAAAATGGATCATGATTAGAGTTTGGATGACTATTTTCTCACTGATTGGTGTTACAGTAATACCATTCTACACCATTAAATATCACAGCCTGTGGTAACTGTTAAGTTGTGCTAGCATAGACATTGAAATGTTATTTGTGAATATTTGCTCAATCTTTTTTTTATAGTCATTAAGTAGTTTTTAAAGCTCTTCCAATTTTAAATAACAGTATGTTGAACAATTTTGGCTAAATCAGTATACGCATTCGTGGTTATTATAAGACACTTTTGAAGAAATGACATTTTGCTTTTGTGTAATTTTCCTCCAGGCATACTTCAGCTGCATACTTCCTTTAATCCTTACGTGAAAACTTAGGTTCAGGGGACTTGTTGATGCTTGCATTTATTAAAAGAATGACTTTTGGCTATTGTATGAGCAAAATAACACAATAATTATAAATACAATTTTTCTTTTTATTTTGGAATTATCTAAATACTAGTGAAGTTGAACTATTTTATGTTTTGACATTTGAGTTTCTTTCTTTCTTTCTCTGTTTATTTCTTTTATTTTCTTTCTTTTTTTAAAGATTAGTACACCCTGAGTCCTGATGATGCATAGGAAATTCCCTGCATGGAAATATAACAGTCTTGTCTACTGTTTACAACTCTATCACTTGACAGCTGTCATCCTGGCACCTGGGAGCTTCAATTTATCCTTCTATACCCTGGGGAAACAATGCCTTCTACTAATTCCACTGCCACCTGAAATGTTGCTTATAATGTTCTTGTAAACATGCACAGTAAATAGCATAAATCTTCTTGGTTGACCTTGGGCAGGCTCTCTAATCTCTCTGTAGCTCTGTTATCTCATCTGTAAAGTGGTGATAATAATAGATCTTGTATAAAGTTGACCTGAGGCTACAGTGAGTTGTTCCCAATAAGAACTTTAGTCAGTGCCTTTTATACTGAAATAATTCAGAATGTGTCATTTATTTAATTTTTGCAACTTCTTTGAGACCTGTATTAGGGCAACTGACGGTGATTTCCAGGGACAGGTTGATGACACTATTGTGGCATCTGAAGGGCTACAAGGCCCCTCAGAAAGCACTTGATCCATGAATCTAGCAGGTTGGGGCCCAGGAGAGGAACAGAATTCACCCAATATTCACCATCATGTCAGTAGTTGACACAGGACTAGAATGGAGTTTTGCTTCTATTGTCCCCACAAAGATGTCACCCTGCCCAGCTGCACGCTAAAAGATAGTCACTGAATCACTTCTTGTGTTGAAGGCCCCCCCTCCCCAAGGATTAGAACATGGTTACCTGGAGGAGGAATATGATCACCCTGTGATCCACAGTACAAATGATGCAGAAAGTAGGAAATGTCATCTCCCTTCGCAGATTGGTGCATGGGTAGCCTCCCTTCCTTGGTCCAGAATATTGCAAAGGTACTGACAAGGAGGGGATCCAAGTTCTCCCTCTACATAGTCTGGGAGACTCTGGATCATGGGTGTCCTACCTTTGGCCTATGGTCTGCAGGTGGCTATGAGCAGTTAATAATGTGGTCCCAGAACTGTAAGCTCTTAATATTATTATGTGAGTTTTAGCAATATAGTTATGACTGTATTGGAGGAAACTTCAGGGCAGACTGCACAGGCTACAATAGAAATTGTGGGAGTGGGGGATCGGGACTATAATACTGACTCTTTCCCTACTACTCATAGTCAGTCCAATCAAAGCAGTGATATATCAGTATTGCCTAGGTTTTCTTGACTGGATGAGTAAAACCTAGCATTACTGACAACAGTGCTTCAACCTACATATGTGTGTGTACTTATGTAGGCAATTTCTACTGTCATTAGAAGACATGTAAGTTAAATTTAGGATTATTGTGTTATTTGGTGGAATAGTTTAATAGATGAAATTGTTTTTAGGATTCGTGGCATAGGAAATACAAAGATGATACATCAAATAACTTTTTGCTCATGGTAGTGCTATAATTATATATTTGTATATATATATATGCATGTATAACATTGGCAATACTAGGAAAATGTTTATTTATTCATTAATTTTTGAAATTCAGTCATTTCTCTTCATGATACACAGTACTCAGTAGCCAGTATTTCAAGGAGGGATATCATTTGCTCACGGTTACCATCTCCGGCTGCTGGTTTCAAGGCAAAAACAGTATGGTGAAAATGCCTGGTGGAGGAAAGAGGCTCATGTTGTGGTGGCCATGAAGCAGACAGAGTAGGGAAGAGATGAGAGGAGCTGCACCCTTCCAGACCCTACCCTTAGTGAATTACCCTTTCTGAACACCTTCTAACAGCACATTTAGCTATGGATTCATTTGCCGATTAGTCCACTGACGAGGATAACACCTTTCAAAAGTTCTTAGTCACCTTTCAAAAGTTCCAGCTCCAAACAATTCAGGATTCTGGGACATATTCCAGATTTAAATCATAGTAGGAATATATCAAGAGGCAATCAGCTGTTCAACTCAAAGTTAAACTTGACCATGTCTCTTTACTAAGCTCTTATGAGATCTGTCATGATAGTGAAATGTATTTCTTGCTTCACAATCAAGTCTTATTCATGTCTTGGCTTTTTGGCAGTATGTATCCCTGTGAACAACTGTTTAGGGTATTTAGACACACAAAGAGGAAAATTAGATAAAAAATTTTCTGAAAAGCACTTCAAGAACTTTATAAAAATTGCAGCCACTTTCATTGAGCCATATATAGTCTCACAAAACAAAGCCAAATATTTCTGTAGTTTTGTGTCTTATTTTAATGTTATAATAAAGTGCAATAAAGACTGCTTTATTACTTATTTACCTTAACCATATTATATGTTTTATAAGTGTCTAAGACAATTCTTCACTAAATGTGGTCTAGACAAGGTAAAATTTGAACATCCATGCATTAAGGAGTCTGTAGGTCCCAACTAAGGTAACTAGGCAAACTCAAATCTTTGCAATGATCAGTTCAGTGGAAGCAACTCCACCTACAGGCATTATCTTCCTGGTGCAAGTCAAGCCCCAGGTGACACCTCCAGCTTCCACCTGTTGGAAGCTCAGGAGTTCTCTCTCTCCTTCCAGGTGCTCTCAAGATGCAGTGGAGGGAAAGAAGCTGTCAGAGCTGTTTAAAATCATAAATGAGAAAATTCCTTTTACATTTGCTGAAGATTGTCTGTACCTAAACATTTACACTCCTGCCAACTTGACGAAGAACAGTAGCCTGCCGGTGAGTACAGGCACCACTAGTCAAGACTTGTAGGTCTTTAGCATCTGAAATATTCTGCTGCAAATGGGACATGAGGGGAGGGAGGTTAGGGGAAGGAGTACCAGGGCCATAACTGAGTTTGGGAATCAGAGCTTCCTTTTATGACAGGGAATACAAGTATCCTTTCCCCAAGTTTCCTTAGTGACCTAAGGCCTTTGTAGGAAGATACTGTATTTCTGAAAACACACCTTAATTTTTAATTTTTATCACATCAAAAGAAGTTAAAAATGATTACTCATAGTCTTCAGATTAAGAAGCCAATTCCAGAGCCTCAAAGACATAATTTCCAATAAATTTAGAATTAGAAGAATCATTTTACCAGATAGGAGTGAAGATGGTGAAATTGAGGTCACACATTAGTGTCATGACAGAAGATCAGGTCTTTGAATTTGAAGTCAGTGACTCTGACATGGGCCTGTAAATCAACAGTGGGTGTAACCTTTCACTGTTCTGTGACAGAAGCATGTGAGATGATGACTGGAGAAATCCTATAGTAATTTTCTTTCGGTTTTAGCCCAACATCTGAGATTTTCCTGCCCCCACGTACTGTGGATTTAACCCCTTTTTATTTTTTATTTTGAGGTGGTGTCTTGGTAAGTTTCCCATGTAGAACTTGAACTTGGAATCATCCTGCCTTATTCTCCTGAATAGTTGGGATTTTGGCGATACTATTGCTACAAACACATTTAAGAGTTTGTTGTGGCTTCTTTTTCTCCCTTATTGTGATTGGTGCATGCTGAAAACCCATTAAATTAGTCTTTGTAAAATAACTGGTCAGTGGTGTGTAGAAAACTAGTTAAAAATTGGAAGGTGGAAGAGGGTGTGTTGGAAAAGAAGAGAGCCCTGAGATAGAATAGGAAGGGTTTCTTCATCCAGTCTTTATCCTATTCCCACAAAGGGTAAAGCTCAGGAGTTGGGGAGTATGAGCTTGCATCTGAAATTTGTTCCTTCACATACAGTGTAAGGAAAAGAAAGTTGAAAAAAATCCTTCCTCATTCATTCACTTCTTTATTTACATGTCTGTTTGCACTCAGTACCCCAAACATACAGTTAGTATTAGGGTTAGGGAAGGTAAGATTATGGAACCATGATCATAATGCTCCTACCTTCATGAATCTTGCTCTTTGGGCTGCACTGAGACCTCCTAAGACCATATCATTTCTCACCAACCTGGGACCCAGCCTTTAGTCACAGAAGCAAAGATCAAAAGTGGAGGAGAAACAGGAGCCGCAGGAACTTGAAAACAGGAAATGCACAACTATGAACGCAGGTCCTAGCAGTGCAAGTTCTGAGTTTAAATCTTGGCTATGCCTAAGCTGAGAGTCTTGGACAATTTCTGTGCTTCTCCTATTCTCTGTTTCCTCAAGTGAGATTAATCACATATGAGTTTTCAGTAATGACTGTGACATTTTGTTTCAGTCCTGGCTGAGTACACAGAGCCAGCACAGATGACACACCATGTAGAGCAGCCAGAGAATCTTTCTCCTGCCCTAATAACCAGCTTACCAGGAGATGAGTTCTGGGGCCAGATTACCTGATCAAGTCCTCCTGCTAACACTTACTTGTTGTGAGATCTCAGGCAGAGGTGCCTTAGTTTTACTTTTATATGGGGCAATTATTAGTGCCTGTCTTGTGGATAGTTTAGTTTATATTGCTTAGGATAGAATGTGGGGCATAATCTGTGTTAAAACTTTTCCCCTTTCATTTAACAATGTAATTACAATATTACTACTATTCTGTTAAATCTCTCTAGTCGCAATGTGAGCTTTTTCAATGCAAGAAACAATAGTTATATGTTATATCCACTCTCATCCTCAATTCTTATCATAATACCAGTTATATAGCAGGCTATTAGATAATGTTAGTGAAATTATTTTAGGCTTCCTGAAGGCGGGATTGGGAACTGGGCTTGAGGTGGATAGGATTTGGGCTACAGAGGAGGTGGTGGGGGGAAGTTTTGAAAGGAGCATCTTTGAGGAAGTTACTGTGTTTCAAAACAATATTTGTACACAGGAAAGTTTATTTCATCACTGAAGCATTAACTGAGATGAAGCTGAAATACAAAGGCTTCTCTTTGATTAAGTTTCAGTGCCTGAATGGTCTGGACCTGAGGATGATGGAGAGTTGGGGAAAACCGGACATTCTCACGTTCGCTGCTCAAACCAAAAATGATGCCATTTTCAGTTTGAAGATCCCTTTGGGGCCATTGTACGAGGGCCCAGACAATGGCAGACAAACCCAGTGGGAATAAGAATGCAGCCAGGGAATACAGAAAGTGGCTTTTACAACCTTGTGTGCACTGGTGATCTTCGGATAATGGCCTCTTTGAATCAGGGCTAGCATGGAGGTTCTTCCCCATTCTGCTTGCTGTAATCAGTGTGACTCTGATTTTTTTTTTGTGCAAGGTGATGGTGTGGATCCATGGAGGTGGTCTAGTGTTGGGTGGGGCATCGATTTATGATGGACTGGCCCTCTCTGCCCATGAGAAAGTGGTGGTGGTGAATATTCAGTATCGCCTGGGCATATGGGGATTCTTGAGGTAAGGTTCTGAGCTCTCTTTCCCTTCACTGCAGTATCCTGTTTCCTGTTGATATAAGAAAATATTTGAGGCTCCATATCTATAAAAGAAAGACACGTACTTAGATTTCATGTTTGGAAACTCAAAGTGCAGGATCATGTGCATTCACAGGACTGGTCTCTATAAAGGGCCCTTGTCTGTACATGGCAGAGAAACAGAAATAAAATTTGTGACATGCAGGATGCTTCCATTAGGCAAGAAAGAAAGCCAGAGAACAGAGGGGGTATGGTATTGCTCTTGTATTTATTTTACTGTTGAAAAGGACACTGTAATGGACTAGGGATATAGCTCAGTAGCACAGCACCTGCCTGCAAGTGTGAAGTCCTGGGTTTGATTTCCAATGCCAAAAATAAATAAATAAGTAAATAAATACCCTATGTTGTACATATGAGGTTCTTGTTAGAACTGCATTAATCCTTTTCAAGGATGTCCCTCTAAAGAATCATCTTATACCAGATCTTGTATATCATAGCATCTCCTACTGCCTACTAACACCAAAATGAGAACCAAGGACTTTAGAAGACAAAATGCATCTAAACTGTAGCAGCATCAATGCTGTGGCCCAGGTCACCCATCACGGGAAACTTTGTTAAGTTCCTTCATTCCATGCATCAAGGGCTTCATTATTGGACTTATCTACCTTCTTATTCCTTAGCTATACTTGTTCACTGTCTTGTGAGATTTACATTTGTTATTTTCTTTACTTATAATGGCCATTCTACTTGTCACTCTCCTGTTCTACTTGTTATTGCCTTTGAAACACTCATCTTCTTTCACCATGTAACCCCAGCATGCATGGTCCTTGGTGATAGATGTGGGTAGGCAGCAGAGCAAATCAATGTTACACATCTTCCCAGGGAAAAGAAGGGAGGGACATCTCATTGAGAGTGTTGTGAGTACTCGTGAAGGCAGGGTTCCTTCTAACTAAGCTGAAAAGTAATTCCGTTAGAGATAAAGCAGTGACTTTCACCAGAACCCAGCCAACATCATCACACCTTTCAACACAGGCCACAGACAGCCATGCCTGCCTCAGAAACTCTGCCTTCTCCTGACTCTGACCATCTCCCACCTCCTACTTGCTCCTTCTCAATTCTTTTTTATTTTAAAGGGAACAAAACAAAACAAAATGATGCAAAACAAAAGAATGAGAATGATGTTGGATTTAAAAAACAAGACAGTGGATAATTCACAATTGTTACCATATTGCATATTGTTATCCTCTAAATAATTGCTCAGACTACTAGCTTTAGGCTTGCAAAGTCAATCAAACAATACAAGCCTTAAATTGTTTCTTTACTTTAGTTTCTATCATCTCAGCCTGTGTTCCTTCGAATCAGTCATTTGCTTATGGAGGGGGCTTTCCTTCTCTCCTGGCCTGCACAACTGCTTCTGGTGTGGCTTCCTGGTTTTCTCCATGACTGGTACGGCTGGTGCTCCTCAGCCCTTCTTTGTTCTTCTGCTTCCACCTCATCAACCCTCTGTGTCTTCCTCTCTGCCTCTGCTAAGTCACTGCATGTCCCCAGAAGCACTTTCATATCTTCCTGTTTGTAGCTCTCACTTCCTTTTTGAACCCCAGATGCCATCCTTAGCTACCTTTTATTATTTCCTCTGGATGTCTTCATCACACTTCCTTTTTCCAGGGACAGACTGAGAACTGGACTGCTACTACAAAGAATATCCACTTCTTCCCACAAGGTATCTGGTGCCACTGCTGGAAGTTCTTCCTCCTTGTTTCTCAGGATAAAAGCCTTGTTGATATGCTTAACTCTTTACCTCACATCTACTTGACCAGCAAGTCTTCCTGGTTTTACATTTCAAATATTTTCAGAATACACTACTTCATCATCCACTTCTTGATTTTTCCTATCTAAGCTCAGTGTCTTCTCTGAATTACCGATAGAATCTTTTATTCTGGCCATGTTCTTATCACCTTTCATTACACTCTTGCTATCTGCATTTCACGTTATACTCCAACATTTCTTCTTTTGGTCCTGTGTCCTGTACAAGTTATGTCTCTCCTAAGAGAGAAGAGATTTACAAGAGCCTCTCAGAGATTTACAAGACTCATGTATTCAGGTCTCTACCAAATACTATTACCTATAGAATCATTCCTTGGATATGACCTCTAAAATATCAACCATAGCTCAAATGTGCCTCTTTTTTTTTTTTACTTGATTGTTTTTTACATGGTTATGTTTTTCTCACAGTCTGACAGTGTATTTTCTTTTCACTTATTTGTGGCCTGCAGTGTGAGTTGAATTTTTTTCCAGAGACATTGCTTCTTTAATCCCAGGAATGCTTTAGCTTTTTTAAAAAAATTTTATTTAAAAGGAAAAAGAGAAAAAACAAAACAAAACAAAGCGGTGTAAGGGTACAAGTAATACATAACTACAAAAAAAAACCCAGTAAGAAATCACCAGTTAATAGATTACACATTATCATCTTATAGATAGTTGCTCAAGTCACAGAATCAAAGCATACAAAGTGGACATTCAAACAGTGAGACTGCAAACAGTTGTGTTCAATGATCCAACCCAAAACATTAATATGGTCATCTATTTAACACCCCTAAACACACTTGTAGTTGTATCCTTCAGAGCACTTTTTTCCTCTCTTTTTACAACAAAATTTACACATTTTGGGTTTTATTACTCCTTAGTTCATATTACATTTTTTGGAAGAGAATAAAATCAAATATGGCAAAGCAAAGCCGTCAGTCAAAACCAAGGATAGACATAGCACATGATGTAAAAACAGAGTACAAGGCTATCAACAATGGTTACCATAATGCCTCTTGCTTCCTTAAAAAGAATTGTCTATTTCATTAGGAATTATAAAATTGAACAAAACAGTAGAGAACAAGACCAATAAAACCTACACCTTGTAAGCATTACAGCACTTCCAAAGAAGATAATAGTCAAATAAGCCAGGGTTGGGTACAAAGTGGTAGCTGATTAGAGCAGAGGCTGAAGAAGGACTGTGGACTTTCCATCTCTATAGATCACTGTGTGTCATTCATCACATAATGAATGACACACAAATGAAGACTTTTTGGTCAGGAATGGGAAAACCAAACCTTACTGTGGAAGATTCAGCAAGCAGCCCTGCCCATCAGGGATCTTGCAAGCCAGATCATGAGGTCTCTGCCACACTAACCCTGTTCTGTTGCAGCACAGGGGACGAACACGGCCATGGAAACTGGGGTTTCTTGGACCAGGTGGCTGCACTGCGCTGGGTCCAGGACAACATTGCCAACTTTGGAGGTAACCCAGACTCTGTGACCATCTTTGGAGAATCAGCAGGGAGTACAAGTGTCTCTGTTCTTGTAAGTATTATTGATATCAAGCCTCTTTCTAGGCTTGATGTGGCTGTTGATGTGAGTGAGCTCTTGGAGACCAGACAATCTTGCTTTGGTCCTTTTGCTTACAATACCTGGATTTAGTGATGATTCTATGAAGTGCACAGCAACAGAGAGTGGAAAGTCAAGGCTTAACTTTCCTTGGCCTGCAGAAAATTCAGAGCTCAGCTCAATATCCTGGGACTTTAAGAACCTTTAGGTGCATCCTGCACCAGGGGAATTTCTCCTCCTACACTTGGTGTTTCCTTTTTTCATTCTCCTAATCATTTTAATATTAGGACTCACATTGCTTCTCTTGGAATGCAAAGAGGATGTCAAGTACAGATGCTAGGAAATGGTGAAGACACGAGTTGGATAAATTGTCTTATTTGGCCTCAGATAGAACTGTTCTTTATGGGGATTAGAGCACCGAGAACAGACAGGACCATCCTCTGAGGTGGCACATTGTTTATTCATGTCCAAGAGGATGGGCAGCAGGAAGCTGAGAGATAAGGAGCAGCAGGGAGCTGAGCAAGAAGAAGAAAGCAGTAAAGGTGAGTGGGAGGGGTGGATCAGGAGATGTGGATCTCAGGCACAACACATTAGATGTCTTACTGTTTGGAGAAATTGATGGGGCACACTTAGAGAAACTAAAAATTCAACCCCACCTACCTCATACTTGAGCAGAGGGTCATATCTACTGCCATAACTTTCCAACGTTTATTGGTATAGTTGAATACTCAGAGGAATATATTCTTGTATTTTTTAAAGTAGAGATAAAAGCAAAAAGAAAAGTACAAAAGTATTTGAAGAATAAAAATCTTTTAGAATCCCACTAACCAGGATGGTTACTGTGGATTTATCTATGTATCAATCAGTCAATCAATCATCTATCTATCCACATAGAGTTGGTCTCCTTGTTACATTTTTATTTATATTTTTTGTAAAGAAAGAAACCTTTATTATTGTAGGTTAATTAATATTTCTCTAAATATTGGACTACTTATCTTTTGTAGTTGTATAGTATGCCATGATAGTAATGAAAAATTGTTCATTTGCCCAATCTCTTTATATTGGAATCTTCAGGATTTTCCAATTTTTGATGTTATAAACAACATAAGATCATGTGCATTATTAGATATCTTTTGAATGTGCCTCCACACAGATCTTTTTCTTGTACTTGCTAATTCTTTTCTTGTTTTGAGGCTCAATCCCAGGTCTTTGAGTATATCAAACCAGTGTTATAGCTTAAGAGATGGAGCTACACACAAACTCTCTTCAGATGCATGGTCAATTTTATTAAGATCAATTATGAATAATTAAAATTGGAAACCTAATTTATGGGTAGGAATACCTAAAACCACATTGTAACAGATTTGATTGCCATAATGGGTAGGTGCCACATAATTCTTATTTTGTCTATGGCTCTGGGCTTTGCCTCTACTCTGCTGAGAATGTAGGACTGGGGCCACAGGACAAACGAGGACTTCTCATGTCCACTGAGCATGAGAGACTCCAAGAGATGACCAGGGCAGGGAAGTAGGGGGAAGGAACCTTAGAAGCATGTGAGTCACTGATACTGTAGTTTCGAGCATCAAATCTCTTCTCCACTTCCCTGCCAGGTGTTATCTCCACTGGCCAAGAATCTCTTCCACAGGGCCATTTCTGAGAGTGGTGTGGTCTTCAGTCTTCATATAGTTAGGGACAATGTCAAGGCCACAGCGGAGGTAAGTCACATGCTGGACAGCTCTCCTATCTTTTCTTTGGTTTTAGTAGAATCCTATGGTGTTTTTCTTGGTTTTTCTTGGGAGGCAGCTGAGAGTCTCTAAAGTCAGGAGGGAGGATGGCCAAGCAGGAAGGAGTCCTTTAGGACTCACACTTATATCACGTTCTGAAGTGTTTTCATGGGAATCACCTTTTCTAGGCCTCATGAATTATGCATTAGTTTTAGTGTGTGGTGAGAGGCATAATACCCTTGTAACTTTGTCACATGTTTTGTAAAATAGTCACAATCATTACACTTATCTACAGTTGGGGACTCTGAGACCCAGTGGCTAGTAGGTAGTATTCAGCCCAGATAGCATAGTTCTGACTCCATGTTCTTCACCATCCCCATCTTCACAGGTTCTCTTGAGACATTTGTATTTGAGAACACTGAGCCCACTTTAGAAGAGATGAGGCAATAGACATATGTATATTATGTGTGACTCATGTTACAATTCCAAATAGCATGAACAACATGCCATGGGACCTGGAACCCACTATGGTTTATGGGATATTCACGTATCCTATTTGGTTTGGGTCAGGATAGAACTATGTATGTACACTGATGGAAGATAAAGTTTTCTCTTAAATTCTGCTGTTGGCTGTGATTTCTGCAGAAAATTGCAGCTACTGCTGGGTGTGAAACCACCACATCGGCTGTCATCATTCAGTGTCTGCGCCAGAAGACAGAGAAAGAGCTCTTAGAGGCAAGCCAGATAACGGTGGGTACACCCATTGTAGTTATCCTGCCCTGTCTACATGACTCCATACTATTGGTTCAGTTGTGTACTTATATGAGCAATCAGTTGGTCAGCTCCTAGTTCAGTATAAGCTTTTGAACTAAACTGGGAAGTTTATTTTTTCTTTTTTTATTATGAAGTATAGTAAATACAAAAGATCTAATAATAACACAAAATTAGATTATAATTCTTTCTTTTAAAACAATGTTTTGATATTCTTTTCAGGGGTAGTATCAAAAGTTAAGCTCAGTGTTCTGTAGAATTAGTATGAATTAATAAAATTTATACATTATGTTTTTCAAAAGTAATTACTGTCTTGAATTTGAAGAATGGGGACATGAAACATTTAGTTTTTCAGAAAGTTGTCACAATCTAAGGTGCTTATGGTTCACAAAGTGTCTACACAAGTCTTAGAATATCTAGATAACTGGCCACTGCTGTGTCACAATTATCTAGATATTCTAAGATTTTTCCCCAGTTAGCATTCAAACATAAACATCTTTCTACCCATTTACTCATCTATCAGACACTCATCTATCCTTCCATCTGTCTACCATCATGCATCCAACCATACATTTATCCATCCATCATACATCTCTCTTCTCTCTCTGTGTCTCTATCTCTCTCTCTTTCTGTATCTTATTCACTTAAGTTCTTTCATCCATCTAATATCAATGTATTTTCAATTGGTCCATCACCCATGAGTCATCTAGTCAACATGTATGTACATTCCATCACCCAGCCCTCAGAAGCAATGACACATGTACCATCTCCATGCTTATTTTTATTCTTTTATCCATGTGCACATACAATGCACCAATATTCAACTCACTGACCAACACTATCCACATATTCCTCTTTCTGTGTGGAATCATCTCTTTCTTCTTTTTGCCATTCTCTCTTCCTGCATGATAGTTATATATAAGGTGATGTCAAAAGAGATATTACACACCCTAATTGAACATTAATGCAATTTTAAATGCAAAATCCAAGAAAAAACACAGGTATATTAGTGGACTGAGTGTGTAGGAATACAGAGAGGATGCATTCATCATTGTCAAGGAGGAGTGCTTCTTACAGAAAGTGACCTTGAAGATTGATGGTTGCTCATGCCAGTCTGTCATCACAGAGAAGTTCAGCAGGAAAAGTTTTCAGTGAGAAGAGTATCTAAACCCATGGGAATTCTTTCCTTTTTTAGTGCAATTGTGAGCTCAGGAGCCACGTGACTGTCTGCCTGGCTTCTTTATCTCACCATAGATATTCTCTTAGGAAGTCTGAGGATGAAGTGAGATTTATAGATTTATACTATCATTCAGCAAAGATTTAAGAAGCAGATTCCATGTGGCAGGACCTGATTTCATTGTTAGGGTAGAGAAGTTAAGGAGATGAACTGCTCTGCCCTTTTAGAGGCTTGTGCTCCAGTTAGGGGAGTTCAGTGAAGAAATACAACAACAGTCTATTTGATACATCCAAGAGTCGTCAAAGTGAAAGTTAAAAAAGAAAGGTAGTGATGGAGAAAGAATGTAGTGGTTCTAGAACTAGGAAATATAAATGAGAAATGTGTGGCTGAACTTAGGGAATAAATACTGACTTGGAGCATTGGATTAAAAAGTACAGGAGTGGGTTTCAATAGTGCCTGTAAACAGCAGGGTCAGAAAATGGTTTGCACTACGATGTCACCTAAGTCCATTTCTAGAGAAATAAAGAAGCCAGTCATCAGAAACATAGAGAAAAAGTGCTCCAGGGGAGGAAACATCAGCTTTAAAAGCCCTGATGCAGGAGGCCCGTGTTTCTAGAGCAAGGAAGGAATGGGGCAGCATGGAACCTGAGGCCCTGGGAGGTGCAGTATAGTGGTCAATGGAAGGATTTGCCCTGTGATTCAGCAGCAGGTGGAAGGTGTTCAGAGATTGTGAACAGAACAGTGACATGATCTTAGGTTTCCCAAATGTCTGTGCAGTGTGATCTAGACAGGAGGAAGGGCAGAGCAGAGGCATAAAGATCAATGGGGAGGACACTGTACTGCAGCAACTCAAACAAGAAGTTCTGGTGGATTATACCAGAGCCAGATCTGTGGCACAGAGAGAATTAGGTGGAATCTGGATAATTTTGAGAATAGCTACCAGGACTTACTAAATGAGAGAGTGTGGGATATGAGAAAAGGAAAGGAGGAAAGAAATCTCTGAATTTTCAGACCCAAACAATGTATTTCAAGTGATTCCAACAAGCCAACTACCAGCATTTCTGAGTGGATACTGGACACTGACCATTATTGTCTTTCTCATGTCTCCTGTGTCATTGTGCTCCCTTAAGTGCCGCCCACTACAAGCACACACTGTTTCTCTTCTAGCATTTCTTTACCTCTACTCTACATTTCCCATTTACATGCCTTCTGGTACCTCCAGACTCCTGTCATCATAAAATAGAGAATGTCACCCCTTTCTCTGTATCGCCTCAGTTCCTCTCTTAGTCAGTTTTCTGTTTCTGTATCAAACACTTGAGGTAGTCAACACATAAATAGAAAAAGTTTATTTTGGTTCAGAGTTTTGGAAGTTTTATTCCATGATCTATTGTGCCTGTTTGGTTCTGTGCTGGCACATCATGGTGGGAGTACACAGAGGAGCAAAATCACTTACCTCATGCCTTGGTAGTAGAGAGTGAGAAGGGACAGGATACTGACATCAAGTTTAAGAGCACACGCCCAGTGACTTGAAGACCTTCCATTAGGGCCTCATGTCTTACAGTTGCACCATCTCCTTGTAGCTCTTGGCTGGAGACAAGTGTCCTATACACAGATTTTTGTGGTTGACTTAAAATTCAGATTGTAGCAGCTTCAGTAAGTTCTTACAGTAAGTTCTTAGATGAAACACATGCAAAAGATGTGCTCTACTGCATGATCCTCTTTGCTGTCTTTTTCTAAGGGATTGTCTATTTCTATTGGATTTGTCCAAGCCCAAAGCTCTTTTAAGTCCCATTTTTCTGTTCATTGGTTCTATTTGCTTAATTACTTGCTTCTGATTGGAAATACCACTTTCTCACTTCACCTGTCAATAGTTTTCATCACCAAAGTGGTATGCAGGCAGCAAGCATCTTCAACTTTCAGAAGTTTTCCTTCAGATGAGCTGCTCCTCTTTCAGATTCCCAGAGCTACTTTCTCTGAATGGCACATCTTTCCAGGCAGCTGTATTTACACTAAAATTTTTTTCTCAACTTTTTGCTGTAGGATTTTCCCTTTATTGTCCAGTTAATACATACACACACATCCCTCCACACTCATGCATTCATATTGAATACATATTATGATGATTTATATATATTTTAATTTGACTGAAAATGACCTATTCTTCACTGCCCACATCACCTTATCATGAGAAGTTGCCCAAAATTCCATCCTTAATATATCCATATGCAGATTCTCAGGGTCCATCATTTGGACCCTGAGAATCTGTTGTCACTACTGATGACCAGAATGGGTGTGCAGTCTCACCCTTGCCCTCAAGGGACCAGAATAGAGCTGCAAGCGTCAATTAGGGAGGCAAAAGAGAGACAATATATTGCTTTCTACTTGCTCAGCCCTACTCACCTATGACCACTGTTGTTGATGGTGTGCTGCTGCCCAAAGCACCAGAAGACATTCTGGCTGAAAAGAATTTCAGCACTGTCCCCTACATTGTGGGAATCAACAAGCAAGAATTTGGCTGGCTCCTTCCAATGGTAAGAATGTACTGACTTTTCCACAGATGTACTTCCATGCCCCAAATTGGAAGAATTTCAGCACTGTTACCTTTATTGTAGAAATCAGTAAGCAAGAATTTGGGTGGTTGATCCCAATGGTGATACTGCACAGACCTCTAAGTCAGATGCATCCTTTTGCATCATTATCCTTTCAACTTCTGTTCATATGGCTCCTTCTTTTCCAAACCACATGTGAGCCCAGGGCAGACATATTATTGGTACAAGTGAACATTTCCCCATAAATCTTCTTCAGGATAGTCCAGCTGTCCCTAGAGTGGTACATACCAGATAACCTTTTGGCTGAACACTCTTTGACTGTATTCCCACTAAAAAGTTCTAAAGTGTCCTGGCTGTTATGTCCATAAAGAATAATAGTACAGATGGAACAGTCCAGGATGCCTGTAAAGAGGAAGACTTGGAAGTCAATGAGAATTAGGCTGAGGCAGAACAGGTGCCACTTTATGCTGGGGCTCGTGGCTCCTATTGATCTCCACACACACAATCAAGTACCTCATTGGGAAGATTTAGAGAAAGTGTCTTCTGGATAAGTTAAAATTGGCTTCAAACAGTGATAAAAGGTTTTGTGTTTGACAAAAATTATAGGGTAAACAGAGACACTAATTTAAAGCATTAGGGCAGTTATTATTCAGAAAGGAGATGGAAAATGGGGAAAGATAAAGCAAGAGAGTTCACATCCCTGACCCCAAAAGTTGGAGATGTTTCCAGGCTGCAAAGGCACAGAGATGTGCTATGACAGTAAAGAGTGAATCCACATGGACAGACAGATTTGTTCACTTTTACTCATCTGCAGGAGAAGCAGACCTGTGTCTCATGAAGCAGAAGTGCAATTTGAAGTGAGGCTTCATAGTCTGGCCTGAAGATGATCAAGAGTAACCTCCAATGTTTACATTTCCAAGTGGTTTCAAAATATTTACAAAACAAAACAACCCCGAACCTCCAAAGAAACATTACTCTCAGGTCCTCAAGGAAACAGTTTTGGATGTGGGATTTTCATCTCAAAAGGCAGAAAAAGGATTGATAATTGCACATTTATAAGGCAACTGCTCTAAGAGACAGTTCATAAGTCTGTTTGTGCATGAGGGTTAGGCTAAAGGAAACAGTTACTTCACATGAAATCACTGAGTGTTCTTAGGCATTTTAGAGGTCCAGATTTACTGTAGCACATGGTCTTTAGTTACTAGAAGCCTCGCAAAAGTTGGATCAAGTGTGTTAATGCAGAAGTTTTGACAGGGGCATCATATGCTGAAAGTTCTGCAGTTCTAACTTCAGAAGGATTTCAGTTTTCAAAGGATCAAAGCTAGATGGTTGATTTTGTCTTAGTCATCAGCGTCTCTGGAGTATGGCCTGTGCCCTTTATCCCAGAGCCTGCTGCTTCGACACCATCCTGGCCTAAATGTTTCCTCATTGCCTGGATGAACACTGTGCTACCTGATTTATGTATCTATGTATCATCCTGTTCGGATTCTTGAATTTCTATTTCTGAGTCCATTTATTTCAGTTATTTTGCAAACTGATGAAAGAACTACTAAGGCTCCAAATGAAACTTAATTTTGCATTGGTTCGGTTGTTTGTTCTGTTTGGTTTTTATTTTAAATTTTTTTGGAATTCACAAATGTTTAACCAATATTTTAAACAGATCATGGGCAATTCCTCCACTGAAGACATTTTGGACCAGAAGACAGGCATGGCATTTCCAGGGAAGTTCAAACGCTTTCTTGTAAGAATCTGAGTAATCATGGGAACTGATTAAGAAACAAGGTGAAAACATTTGTCCAAAATTGCAGCCCAATTGAATGGTAGAACCAAAAGATTGAGATTAGTGATTCTGGCCCCATTTTTCTTTTTACCCATCTCACATCCCCAGAAGGATTTTTCATGGGATACAATTTAAGATCAATAAAGCCTCTTAACTGACTAGAGCTCATTTTCTCAATGTATTTCAGAATATCTCTGGGGATATGATGACTGTGGCTTTTGAGAAGTACTTAGGAGGGACAAATGACTCTACCAAAAAGCAGGAACGCTTCAAGGACTTGATTTCAGATATTGTGTTTGGTGTCCCTTCTGTGACTATTGCCCGTGCACACAGAGGTGAGTCCCCAGCATTAGACAAGAGAGGGACACTATCTTATGAGTGTTTGTCTCTGAGCTGCCCACCTCCCAGTATAGACAGATGTGGAAATTGCTTATGTTGAAACCCCAAATGTGATTACATATGGCCTGGAGAGAGGACATGTCTTATTTTGTTATATATTAGTATCAGAGGATAGAAGAAGACAGAAATGCAAGTAGTTAATTTGGAATTGATCTCAGAAAACATGAAGTGAGGAGGAAGTGGCATAGAAAAGAGATGGAAGCTGTCAAGGATGCACAGCCATGTCTGTGTCTGCTGTGCATAACTGAAATGTCTTCTGGACTTTTCCACTTCTGAAACTTCCGTCATGTAAATGTTTGGTGGTGTCCTATTGTCTCTGTGTTTCTACTTCCTATTATCTCTCAAATCTGTGTTCTGTTTTCTTTGAAGACTTATCTGTGCCTATGTGAATTTTGTAAATCTCAATGATTTGAGGAAAAACAAACAAACAAACAAACGAACAAATATCCTGGGGAAGAATACAGCCTAAAATAAGTTTTTCCATTCACTGAAATTTTTGCTTTACTGATGGGTCAGAGTTCATTAAAAACCTGGCTGAGTGCCAATGAATGATTTAAAAAGCTGTAAGATTTTTCCACAATGGAATACTACCATAAAGAAATATGAACCCGAGACATTTATAGCGAAATGGATGCAATTGAGACCATACTTTTAAGTGAAATAAATTGGACATACGTGTGTGGATATGGCATTGTCTGTCTGATGTAAGAAACTGAAAGTATAAATAAGAACCAAAATGTGTAATCGATATTGTGAAATAGGAAGAAAAGTTTAAAATGGAAGGGGAACTAGAGAGGGGGAAAAGAAAAAAAGAGAAAAGAAGGATAAACTGGAAATACAACTTTGTAAATAAGGAGAAGAGGGATTGAAGTGGGGTGGGTAGATGGAAGGGTAATGGGGAAAAAAGAAATAGGAAGATATATCATGTACAGGCACAGATTCTCTATGATGAATGTGATCAATATGTATACCTAAATTGTACCTAAAAACTTAAAAAAATTATTGAGCAGCCCAGGCAATGTTCATCCTTAATTTCAGCAAGTTCTGATTGACTTTGACAGAGTTGATTAATAAATTAAATGCTGAGTCATGGGAGGATTATTTCTTCCAAATAAAACTTGTTGATAAAAAAATTAGTGATGAAGGCTGCAGGAGCCCATCAATAGATTATTTTCCATTCTCAGAGGGGCATGTAATGTTAAATACTTTTATGGATGCAAAACGATGTGAAAAATTGATTATAGTATATTGGAAAATAACATAAAATATTACTTCACTTTTATATTCATAAGATTTATTCACTAAAATATAAAGTAAGCCTCATGAATGGCAGGATTATGAGTATTCTTATTTTATTTTTTGTACATTTTTCAGGTTTTTAAAAAAATCACTCACTTTTTTGCCTATTGTTTTAAGACTCCCTGAGATAAGCAAGAGATTCTATAAGTGAAATGACAAAAAATATTAAACTCTGAGTTTTGTGGTTTCCTAAAATGCAAGAGATTGATGATATTCTCTCTATATGTTTTATTTCCATATACTTCTTTATGATAAGCAACTAGTACTTGCCTCAACTACTCTGAAACATTGAGAAAAATATTGGAGAATTTCACAACCAAGCTGAATCAAAGATACCTGCTAGGTTGAAGATATTCTTGAAAGGATGACCTGTTGCTGTTGGTGATACACGTCCAAATTCATAATGGTTGCATTGCAGTTCTCTGTTCTGACATTCAATAAATATCTGGTCAGTCCTAATCCCATTTGAACAAACTGTGTGGCTCTAATTTAAGCAAAGAGCTTTTTAAAAATTGTTTCTGTTCCCTGATGATACCTACAGGTTTCCCGAACAGCTGAAGATTTGGTTATAGTCCTGGAGTGGATCCAGTCATGTGATCTGTGCATGTTCCATGTCTTCACAGATGCTGGAGCCCCTACCTACATGTATGAGTTCCAGTATCATCCAAGCTTCTCATCTCCCTTGAAACCTAGCAGTGTGATGGGAGATCACGGGGATGAGGTTTTCTCAGTATTTGGTGCACCACTTTTGAAAGGTAATGGCTCTTCCCTGGCTATGAACTTGCAGTGAGGAGGCCTGGGAGCCAGTCTTAGTTTGCCAGCCTTGAGTACATTTTACCTTCTCTCTCTATCTTGGTTTACTGTTTTGCTGCCACATGGTTTAGCTACACAGGGCAGTCCTCAACTTTCCTCCTGCTCTAACATCATTAAGGATATTATGCATTCATGTGTCCTTGATCATAGTCTGTCTCAGAAGGAAGTTTTCATTCTTCCTCATAGGTGGTGCCTCAGAAGAGGAGATCAATCTCAGCAAGATGGTGATGAAATTCTGGGCCAACTTTGCTCGGAATGGGTAAGGCTGTTGGAAGACAAGTAGCAGGGCTGGTAGATGAGTTGGGGAAATATGTTGTATACCAGTTGGGAAGGGGTAGCTTTAATAGCTTGAGTGATCAAAACCCCAGCCCTGTGACAGTAGTACTTTGATAATGAGGTTTCTCTACAAAACTGGAAGTGCCCCAAAGATGGAGAATTCCCTGTCTGTAGAGATGCTTGAACCTCTTGGCAGAGATTAGCAAGAGACCCCTACAAACCTCAGAGAAATATGAGTACCATCCAGAAACCTTAGGGAATTTCTATTTGATTCTGTTTCCAGGAACCCCAATGGGGAAGAGCTTCCACACTGGCCAAAATATGACCAAGAAGAAGGATATCTGAAGATTGGTGCCACCACCAAGGCTGCCCAGGGGTTAAAAGCCAAGGAAGTGGCTTTCTGGACTGAACTCTGGGTCCAGGAGACAACAAAGAAGCTGTCTCAGACAGCACACATGAAGAGTAAATAAGAGCACCAGCCTGCCTGGGGAGCCTGGAACAGCCACCACAAACATATTTTACAACAGAGTTTTTCTGTTATCTTGGCACCTTTTTTGGTACTGGGGATTGAACTCATGACTTTGTGCTTCCATGTAGGCACTTATGCTGCTGAGCTAAATCCATGACCCAAGGTCAGCACCTTTTTGTGGAGGGCAGGGAACTGTGTGGTGGGAGCATGCAAGGATCAAAGAGGACAATCTGTGTCCTTCTAGTGTCAGGAGAATAAATGTTTGAAGACTACATTAGTCTGTCTCTTGAGTTGGAGATGGAAACAAATCTATTTTCCTCAGAGAAAGGATGAAGACAGAGGCAACATCAGAGTACAATGTCCCTGCAGGGATAGCTTGGTGAATAATTATCCTGATCTAATGGAAAACAAGCTCATTAGAGGAGAGGTGGATTTGAACCTTGACTCAGCTTGCTCCTATGAGAAGATTATAGTGTTTTATGAACTTCCAGGATGAGTGCACAAAATCCCTGGGAACCAGATTCCCACATGGGAGTTTATACCCATGACAGACACTTCTTTATGGACTTCTGTCAGGTATTCATAAGGAAGTGTGGTAAGACTGGAGAAATTGTGTCTCCAGCATGCAGGTACAGAGCCCTCCCCAGACCTTTTTCCAAGAAAGACCAAAATCCTATAAAGTTTGGGGAGAAGAACAGCAAAACACCCCTCCATCAGGACGCTCATAAAAACTTGTTGGGAAAAGGAAAAATGTAAAATTCTGTACCCCTTTGAATAATATAGGAAATTTCCTGGGTTGAGATTACTAGAGATCTTTTACTCTGTCATTGAGGAAGCTCTATAATCATGAGGGACACAGAGTTCCTCTGAGTTGAGGCTACAGAGGTAAACTCGCAAACACAGTGAAATGCCCTACCATTTCTCTCCTAGATTCCAGTTTATTTGGTGAACTGGCAGAGAATGTTTGACTGCAGATTATCTATCCAGGCTAACTTGTTATTTGTCCTTAAGCAGGCTGTACAGTAGGTAAACCTGGGCTAGGTGTTTCTACAAGAGTCTCAAATGTAGAGTCAATATCAGTGGGCATAGTAATGTCTTGTCATTCCATTACACCACCAGTGTCCAGGAGAAGAAGAAATAAACTGATCCTAAATCAGAGACTCAGGAAGTTTCTGCTCACTATGAAGGCAAGGGTCATATACTCTCTGGACAAGGGTTTAGAAAAACCCTAGTCCTTATCGATTTCCTTTGAGTTACAAGATTTTCTTGGAACTGTGTCTATAGTTGCAGTTCTTCAGGAGGTTTAAATTAGAATATCATTTCAGCTCAGTAATTTGAAATAAGCTTGGATAGCAAATTAATAATCAATCTAAGAAATGTGCTTCTCTCTTGCCTTCAAGTGTGTTTTCTTGTGAAGTGTTAAGTGGAGAAGATTACAAAGAGCCACTGAAGGGATATCATGGACCTTGTGAGACTCACACATCTTTATTATCTTGTCCTGGAGACACATATATGTTTCCTCTCAGAAAGATTCCTACCTGAGCTGCTGAATATTAGATAAAGAGTTATGTTTTGTATTCGGATTAGCAAAACCTAAAGAAAAAAAAAGTTTTCCACAGACTAGATAGCTAAAGGAAGAAAGGAAGTTGAGTTGGTGGGATAAAGAACTTTGATTCAGTCCTAGGAGCCCAGGGCATAGGAGAGGATTTCTAACACATCCAGGTGAAGCTTTGGAACATCACTTGAAACACAGAAATATAGGAAAATGACAGAACAAAAGACCAAAATGCAATCTCAAACCTTCAGCCCATCCCAAGAAAGCCTAGGAGCCATGCACATAGAAGAAAATATAAGGCATGCACCTGAAATACCTAAAGTACCTGAAATAATAGCAACAAAAATAAAGAAGCAACTCCGGGAAGCTCTAAAGGAATTCAAATTAGAAATAATCTCCCAGGTAAAAGAAGAAATGACAAAAGTAATGAAAGAAATGCTGAACACATCTAAAGAAGACACAGTTAAAAAATTAGAGGAACAACGCAAAAGATAGAATCCTTTGATGAACAATATAAGAAAAAAAATAGAATATATGAAGCAGATTCAAAGAGATATACAGGAAATCAAAAATTCCATTGAAAGCTGTCAAAACCGCCTCAACGGTTTTGACATAAGAAAGTGAAGATAGAATTTCAGACCTTGAAGACAATTGCAGCTAGTGAACAGGAAGAGAGATCTTTTAAAAATAACAAGGAATCAGGAAATAATGATTCTAACCTTCATACCCAGTGACTGAGGAGATCCTATTTTCAATTATTTTCATGTTCTCTTGTTTCCTCTTGGATTGGGAAACTGCTGTTCTGGTCTGTTGTTGCCATTTGTTTTAAGAAATCAATGGATTATTTCAGCGACCATTTCTTTCTAGTTGACCCGCAGAAGTAACAGGCCAGGTCTGAATTTGAACTGATAAATTGGTAAGAGGGCTTCATCCAGGAAGGTGCAGGAGATAAGGATGTCCTGGCAGCAGAATTTATTAACCAGGAGTGACTGGTCAGTTCTGGTTTTCCTTCAAGCAATAGTGCCATCCACACGTGTGTCTCAGCCTAGTCACTACCATGTTCTGTATCAACAATGTGGGGAACCCATGTGGCTGGAACAGAAGGACGTAGTGCCTGGGTGGCAGCTTCTGTGCCTATGGTGGTGTTTCCATCATCACCCAGAGAAAACTGAGGAACAGAAGCCACCATCCAGTTAGATCTATGAGGATGATTTCATAACCAACCTGGCAAAAGTGAAACAGAGAAGCCAGCATCAAAATGATTTCCAACAGATACGGATCTATGACAGTGTCTGAGAGTCCGGTTGCTCTAGCCCCCAATTTGCCACTTGAACAGGGCTAACAGAACCTCTCAATAGATTGCTGGTCAGCCAAATCATTGAGTTTACAAACACAGGACAATTTAAGACAGCTAATGCCTCTTCCGCAGTGACCTTCCTTGTCTATCACTGGAGATAGTATCTGATCCCTTGTGCCTGTGCCTTTCTCAGTCAGGTCCTCCCTTCCATAGCACATGCATTAGGAAAGGAAACTCAGAAACTGGAGTTTGAAAAGAGAGGTTGCTTTGAACTTCCTGATGCTAAATCTGGCCTGGATGAAGCACTGACATTTCTCTGATGAACACTTTGCAGTTTCTTTTTGGCAGAAGAAACAACTGTCTGTACTATTCATGCTGAGGAGGAGCTAAATGCACAGTGGACTTACTGAAGCTTGATCTACCTTGCCTTGAGTCATTACAGGCAACAAGCAGCTCAAGCCAAGAGGGTGTCTGTTTCCTGAACTGGCAGATATAAGCAGAAATTACATAAGGAGATTCCTGCCTTGGGTCTGGGGCCTGCATTTTAAAAAAAATTTTATACTTTCTGGTCATGTTCATAAAATGCTTCCGATAAAGACAGGCAGGAGTACCTCCTCCCAGGGCTCTTATTACTTCTCTTCCCTTAAGAGTCCTTTGGGTTCTGAATCTTTTGTTCAGTTCCAAAGTCCAGTCTGAGATGCAAGTTTCTACTCCCATCTCATTTCCCTCCAGCGTAGGTGAGGAGAAGGAGAACTGAGCTCAGGCCTTGCACCTGGGACCTAACCTGCCTAGTGCTGTCTCAGGTGACCCAACCTCAGAAGAATCTCCTTTCCCACAGCTGAGATTGGGCCTGTTTTGGCATAATCCTTTTGTTATACTACAGTAAGTGTTAAAAGTGAGCCTCGTTCATTCCCTAGACATGAACAGGAAATCCTACCTTGCCATCAGCTTGCATCAAAACACAAACACAAGAGGATTTACTGATGAAACACTCAAAGTACACACTGGGTGCGTTGGGGCTCAATTCTGGACTTAAGGGATGGGTAGGAAGAGGAACAACCAGCTATGGTGTAGTAGAAACATAAAGCAGCAAGTTGGTGAGAGGCCAGCCCACCTGAAAGGAAAGATAATGTTCATAATGTTGTTTTGGTACACGTTAAGGATGTGGGAGACAGCTTTTATATTGTGGCCAGCAGTATGAACTTCTTTTTATAGAGAAGGGATCAAATTATCCCAGGGTCTGTTGCTATACCAAAATAGCCACGTGTAGATACTTTACAATAAAAGAGGTTTTAAGTCACATTTCTACAGGTTCAAGAGCATGGTGTTGCCATGTTCTTGGCTCTGAGGAGGACTTCATGACAGATGCCACTGTAATGATAGATTTATAAAAACATATGAGGCAACGGGAAACTAGATTTTAGAAGGGCCAAATTAATTAATTAATTAAATATAGCAACTCACTCTTTTTTTATTTAAAGAAAAGGAAACAAAAAAAATACATGGAGATAAAAAAAAGGGTAGAAATAATACAAAATTACAGACAAACAAAGGTAAGAAATTGCCGGTTGATAAGTTACACATTGTCATCTTAGAAATAGCTGTTCAGGTTATAGAATTAAAGTATTTAGAATGACATTCAAAAAGTGACCCTACAAACCATTCTGCTCTATGATCGAACAAAAGCTCAGTAATATGATTATTAGTCCTACACATTTGTTTTACATCTCAAAGAGGGTAAGATTAAACATATCAAAACAGAACAGAACATTTAAAAAAAAAACAATTTAAAGAAATACAGATTTCAAAGCAAGTCCACTGGAGATCTTCATTATCTAACTGTCTCTAGTTTCTTACAAATAGTTGTCCCTATCTTCACCCACTTTATATACTTATTGCATATTATAGAACTAATCAAATCATTACAGAATGATGAAGTCTTTTTAGGTCCTCAAGTTCCAAATTAGGGAAGACAATAGTAACTACCATCGCATCTCTCATTCTCTTTGTGATAGCCGTCCCCATCTCTACATATGCTGAAGTTGAACTCAAGAAACCAATCCAATGTCATTCTAATCAGCGAACAATAGATTGCTAGAATTTATATTATAATGCTACAAAATAAGCCTCGGGTTTCTCAGCGTCTCTTCCTCAGAGTATCTGTTCCTTACATCTTGCATTATATAATCTATTCCCGTAAATAATTTAAAAATAAAAAAAACCCATGTGTGAATTTCTACCTATATATCTATCCTCTCTGTATTATAGGGAAAACCAAGTCATAGCAAGACAGCAAAACAATTTCCTAGAAAAACATGCAATGGATAAGACATATAAGACTACAATATAAATGATCTTCCGTAGCTACTATGTTTTCTCTTGTTATTTTCAATAGATTTGTCCACAACACTGGCTTATTATA